TCTACAGCAAAACGGCAGTTAAATAATCGAACAAGAACAATTGGGCGCACAGTCCATCATCTCCATCTCCTAACCCCCAATAAAAAGCACAAATTATCTACAGCCTACGGCCAGCCTCTCTTTCTCTCCTCCCCCGCCGCTAAATTCAGGAACAACCGCACTTCATCAAACAGCTGGTGTGCGGTGGTGACTCCCGATCAACAGATCAAAAGGAGAATCAGTTTAGACTTTTTGATTTCATTACTCTTGTGTTCAATTGTTTGATTCTTCTGTTCTTCTTCTTCTTCCTTTTTTTTTTTCCTTCGTTTGCAGGATAATGGGCTTTCTCGATTCTTCTTTTGATATGGATATTGAGATCTGGGCCTTAAGAAAGTAATGATTTTTCTTGGTGGGTTTACAGTAATAACATCTGCCAATGAAGTGCTGCTGGTGCAGATCGGTCCCCTCTTGGGTTTCTAAGTGTATTGCATGCATGGGGTCAGTTCTTTTTACCTTGCCTATATATGAGTGCGTTTGTGTGTATGTGCGTGCAGTGGACTTGCTTGATTGATTGCGTGCTCAATTTGTACGATTAGAGTAGCACAAGGTGCAACTTGTAGAACTGCGATTGTTCTGTTATACTTGAGCTTAAAAGAGCTTTCGTTGCAGCGTTTTGTTGGCCGACCTTTGTAATTAGGTTATCTGTTTATGGAATAAGCAAGGAGAAGGAATAATGACTTAGGACTATGAAGATGATCTTTCTTAAACATATGCTAACGTGAGGAATACATGTGGTTGTTAGGACAATTGGAGTGAGAGGTTAATTATTTTAGTTGGCTTACTTTTGGTGGTTTGGAATTTTGGTCTTTTGCTTGTATTTGAAGCAAGCAACAATAGTGTGTGCTTAGTAGAAGTTTTGTTTATTTATTTTTTATTTCCATTTCTTGTGCGGCATGCGTTGCTTGGTGGTGTAAAGAGTTTGTTCGAGTGACACTTTGTAGATCATACGTAATTGCGTCGTGCTAATAGCATCAACTCGAAAGGAACCAGCTGAAGAGAATAGAGTGGTGTATAGAAACTATTACAAGATATGTATAGTGAATGTTGTTTAGTTAGACGGATGGAATCTTGTCTTGTAAGAAGACCTTCATGCTCCCTCTTGGAGTGCATTTGGATGTATATCCGAGCGTCCTTTGGATTAATTACGGAAAGGTTAAAATGTAAATGCAGAGATATTATTCATGTAAGAGTTTATCAGATATCTTCCTTTCATTGGTTGATTCGAGTGCTTTTCATGCTCACGTTTGCTTGACTTTTGCTCTGCCTTAAATATTTCTCGATTGCCCTTCTTTACCCGACCATTCAACCGTTTTATTCTCAATTTCTAGAAGTTTAAGCTTTATTAGTTTTTGGATATCGATATTTTACCATATTGAATACATAGTCAACTGTCACATACACCGTATACTCGTTCGTAAGGTTGATATCATTCTAGCAATGATGTTTTCTTGAGCCCCAAGAACATAAATCTAAAACAGCTCTACTGTAGAGTGCAAAACCTTGAATTTGGAAAGACTTCATTATCATCCCTCTATTTTTATTTTTTGCTTACGAAATTATATCTTCAAAAAATATTTCTCGATGCATAAGATCATTAATAGTTTCTGTTCGATACACTAATCGTATGGATGGTGGCGGAACCTAATTTGTAACAGAGCAGAGGTTGTCTTGGATGTTGTTCCAAGCCGCCACTTGTGATTTCTGTGGACGAACCATCAAAGAGGCTCAAATTTCAAGGACAGTGCGCGAAAAAACGCAGTTTAACAGAGGATTTTTGGAGCCACACTTCAGGGGATATGGACAACAGATCTTTCCCGTCTCACCGAAGCATCTCGTCAATCAGTACTTCGAATCAAACCATAGATAGTCAGAGTAATGCTGATGGACCAAGCAACCCATCTGAATTCGTAAATCGTGGCAAGTGCTCTTATACTTTCTTGTAAATTAGGCTTCACACTGAAATATAACTTGAGCTTGTGAAGCTGGTAGTGTAAAACGTCTTCTGCTACTATGTTTAGTTATAGAACTTCTGGTTTGGTCTCAGTTCTGTTCATACCATAACCTCTCTCTCTCTCTCTCTCAGTTTTACCCCTGAGGTATAGCCTATTACTAGATATTCCATTTATCACTCAGAGATACAAATATGACTCTCTTGCATTAGTTTTGGTTGTACAAAAGTGCATCTCGAGAGGGGTTAAGAGGGACTAATTGTATGCTAAATACAAAAACCAGTGACTTAATCATAATTTAAAATATAAGGAGATTTTCTTTGTTATAATTATGCATAAACTTGGGGATACTTTTCTTCAACTTAATAGCACCTCTTTATGAATTGCTATTTCACTATCTTATTAGGTGTTGATCCGTACGTGTTCATGTATATCATATATGTGTAAAGTTTAGAGAGATATCATTTAACACTGTCTCGCATTTTAATCTGTTCACTGATTTTAGCCTTTCTCTAGCTCTAATGGAAGCTCGTAAATTCTCTTTTAAAGGATTTCTTCTTTGGAATCAGACAAGACAACAGTGGATTGGAGTTAAAGGATCTCAAAAGAGCAAACAAACACGAGAGCCCAAGCTGAGGTACCGATTCTCATTTTTCTCAAGTTTCACATAGCAACAGATAAGATCATTCATAAGACGATTTGGCGGTGCCGATGAATATTTGCATCAATATTCTCAGCTCTCAAGTTACTGCTCTTATGAAATGTTATTTTCCTCGAGGGAATGTTAGTGCTACTGAAATTTATATTTTTGGCTCGTCGTTATGTAGTTGGAATGCGACTTACGAGAATTTGCTTGGGACCAACAAACCATTCCCACAGCCAATCCCATTAGCGGTTAGTATTGGCACAGCAAGGAGCTTCAAGTTTAAATTGCAAAAACTACCCTTGATGTTTTTAGCCTAGTTAGGAAAAATTAATGCATGGATTGAGGGTTATAAGTAATTTCTGAAGAAGCTGTGTCTATTCGTAACTAGGCTTAATCTCAAGGGTATATTTTGTGATTAACCAAGAGTTTGTTTATAGTTTCTCTTTGTTTAAATGGGGAAGTAACAACCTTCAGGAAATGGTGGATTTTCTTGTGGATGTCTGGGAGCAAGAGGGACTCTATGATTGACTTTTGAGAGCATAAGATGTTGCTGCCATTGTTTGCTGTACGTTAGCAACTCGTCGGCTGATTTGTTTCAATTATTAGCGAATTTGTAATTAGATCGTGTTTGTTATGTCTCCTTTTTCTGCATTTGTGCTCCGTGTGCTGCCTGTAGCTGATACCAGACACCAAGTGCAGCATAAATTACCAAAAACCGAGAAATTTGAAACTTCTGTTCGATCGATTTGTTTCAAGGTTCGGTTGTAAGTTGCCTTCCCATTTTTTCTTACGAGTTTTCTATTATACATGTAAACTACATCATGCTAGAAAGTGCTTGTGTCCAGTAAGAACTGCTGCTTATATATGAAGCCTTTTGCTACTTACCCTGTAAGAACATAGATGGCAAATTATTCCTCTATCTTCTCCTCTTTTTCTGAGTTGAGGGGTCTTCAGACATAAATATGATAATTATCGAAAGTGTGGCGCCCACTGTTTCAATTTGTGAAAGAAAGGCCGCTCTTAGGGCTATAAGTTGTCGGCCCATTTGATGCAAAGGCCCATCTCTAACATCAATGATGCGTGCAATTTGCAAAACGCACGCCAAAATAATAAATAAAAATAAAAAAGAAAATATAATACCAATATTTTATGATTAAAATAATTTGTTTTTTAAACATAATACCATAGTTTTAAGACCTGGGGCAGTGATTGACCTGGACTGGACTTCGGTCACCGGGTCATTGATCGAACTGTCGGGTTACTAGATTAATTGTTGAATACATAAAATAATGATACAAATTATTTATATATAAATTTTATGCCTCAAAGTCTTAATAGTATTGTATTTTGTCATAATATTTATCATATACACACACACACAAAAATTATGTTGACCTGGCAGGATCAATCAATACTCGGGTCGACCCGTCATGCCGGTCTGATTTCAAAACAATTAATAATACAGTTTAAATATATTATTATTCATTGAGTGTAATGCATGAACTCTTTAATTATTATTTGTTTAAGAAAAAATAATGATGTAGCTGGCTTTTGAGTTAATCGGAGGAATATAATTTTTTAAATGAATAAATATAAAATAGATTCATATATATATACTTGAGAGGTAACATGGGGATGAGTTGGTACAGATTAATAAGATTCATCTCAAAATCGATTCAGGCCTCACGTGGACCCTTTAATTTTTAAATTTATATTAAATCCCCCAAATGTACCTGCTGGGTTCTCATATATAAAAGCAGTACTTTACATTAAAAAAAAAATAAAAAAATACAAATTGTAAGATTTGAGTAAAAAGAAATAATATTTCCCCAGTATGTTTATTAGTAGTTAAATAATGGTTATTTTGTGGTTTATGCGGTATTTAATTAAGAAAATTGCTCATTCTTTCAAACGTTAATCAATAGACACGTTGATGTGCAGTTGCACCCAAAACCAGCTCCCCAAGATCCTTCGATCGATTTGTGTTGGAATATCACTTGTGAGTGTCTCACATTGATTCTATAGGGAAGATGAGTCTAGTATATAAGCCTAGTGGGCTACTCTTACTATCACTAATTGATTTTGGGATGAAACCTCACTAAGATGCGCCTTCATCTGGTGGGACCGCACTCTCTTCCCCCGTCAATTTGTTTTCGGAGACATGCAAATACGTCGTTTTCGGAGACATGCAAATACGTCGGGAGATATTCTCGTCGTTAAACTTCTGACGATATAGTCAAAAGGTAATATGGAAAACTTTATGGAAATATATATAAAGTGTGTAAATTTTACTTTTTCTCAATTCTATCTATTTATATAAAATTATTAGTTTTCTTATCAAGTTTATGTGTTGTCCGACTGTCCAAAGGCCTGCCCTACTGCCCTTTGTACCTGGGTGGGCTACTGGTCTGTTAAGTGTTAATAGACTACCCCAAGGCCTGCTCGTCAGTTATCTTTGTTTAATTTTTTTTTATCCATAACCCTACACATGTCCCTTGTGGACAACTCAGACCTGACTTATTACGTAGGTCGATCCTTTCTCTAGAGTAACTTATTATTGAACTACTGAATACCGAGCTCCTCCATACCCGAGCTTTAAATCTATTTGTATTCGCCAGATTGTTCGAGCTTCTTATATACCGAGCTAACGCGTTGTTTGAGCTACCAATAGACATATTATCCGAGCTCCCTATATGCCGATTGTCGAGCTACCAATATTGACATATTAATTATCTGAACTTCATATATACCGAGCTATAACAAACCCTTGGTTAACCGAGCTTCATATATGCCGAGCTATAACTAACCCTTGGTTAGCCAACCGAGCTGTCTGCACGCCTTATTACCTCTAAAACCAACCGACCTAGTTGATCTCTGATTTATGATCCGAGCTAACCCCAACTGGTTCAACCGAGCTATCTCTGATATTTGCTCCTCGAAAAATAATAATACCGAGTTGTGCGCCATATGACTAATTATTAATCATATATATTGATAATTGAAAGATTGGTTTCATTGATCTTGGCACTTGCTTCTATAGTTTCAAAATATTGCAGGTGGTACTTATTTTAATCAAGACTCAATCTTTTTTATTTTTTTTTATTTTTTATTTTTTTTAATGTTAGCCCACTTCATATTGCTTTGTGGAATTCTCTGTTAGCTTAAATAATTTATTATTGTTGCCAATTTAATTAAAACTGCTTTCCTTAGGCGTGTGGGTCCATGATCAGGACAAATTGCACATTTATATTGTTACCTATATATAATTAATTAATTATATAATTAGACACTATTCACTTAATGTTTTTCCCCTATCAATTTTTTTTTTCCATTTAATTGTGAAAATAACTGTTATATTTGATAAATAATTAGAATTATTCACTACAAGAAAATATTTAAATTCCAACTAAAAATTCCAACGACAAAAATTTCTGTTGGAAATTCCAATGAATATTCCAACAAACTTAATTTTATGTTGGAATAAGTGTTGGATGATTGAGGAATTCCAACGGAAAAAGTTGTAGGAATTTATTTCCATAGGATTTTTCATTGGATTTTAGTTATTCCAATGGTCGATTTTTCCACGAATTTTTATACGTAGAATATCCGTTGGAATAGTTATTCCAACAGCAAATATAAAGAATTCCAACGGAAAATTTCCGTTAGAATGTAAGAGTTTTTTTTTGTAGTGATTCTATCTTATATTAATTACTGTTAATATTAACTTATTGTAAATTCACATTATTTGTCACTTTCAATTACCTATATCTTATTTTTACATCAAATCAATTTAAATTATTTTATCTTAAATATTATTTTAATACATACTCTCAATCTCACTCAAATCTAACCGAACAAATTTTTTAAAATTCCCCTATATATAATTTTCGAATGCGCTGAGCCTACGTGGCTGCTTCTGGTGTTTCGGAATCTTACTTGGCGAAAAATCACGCTTCGTAATTAGGTTTAGACAACTAATATTGATATATTAATAATTAATAATCTAGGTTCGGACATTCCATAAATATTATTTAGCTAATTTAGGTATTTTGATATCATTTGTACTAATATAACCCTTTAATTCTTTGTAATTTTACATAGTGAGGCACTAACTGACTAATATAATCCTGACATTTGATTTGCTTCCTTCAATTAGCTATTGAGTTATAAATGTATTCTAAAAGTTGATAACTTTTGTATTTCTTATCGGTTACATATATAATATATCAAATTAATCATCTTTTCTTTTGATGATATTCAATTTGACATCTATATTGTATATATATGAAATAAATAAATTATATTTATCTTTATAATAATAAAAAATAATAATATTTATTAAAATTCATTAGAAAATTAGAAAAATAAAATTATTTCTCAATTAATATATTTATGTTTAATGTATTTATATGTTGTAAGTTAAAAAAATTATTATAATATAACACATGTAAGTCTCACGAATAAAAAGTGTCATACTAAATATATAATAATATATATTTTTATATAAGGCATTTAAATTTTCAACTACTTTTTCTTATTAATTTAGGTTCTAAGAAAAAAATTAGCAAGCACCCGTGTAATACACGAGTGTTGTACTAGTTAACTTTGGTTAACCAACAAATCCGATCAATTTAAAAAATGTTTGTATCCGCACCTCTTAGCCAACAGGAAACGTTCCATGATTTAGTTTCTGGTTCTGTAACGAAAGATGCGCTAAGCTGTAACGGTGAGATAAAGGACTTCAAGCGGTATTAACTAAAACATTTGTGAAACCCGGAACTGCCCGATGATCGGCATGGAATCTGGTCGACCCAAAGTCGGGAACGACCGAGTGACAAGGTCAAACCCAGTCAAAACTTGATCAACCTCGACCTTGACATAGTTGACCCAGGCATCGACCCGGCCGAGTCAATTCGGTTTGACCCAGTCTCTCGGTCTATTCTCCCAATTTTTTTTTAAAAATATGTGATTTGGCATCTCTTGAAAGGTACAGCCATTGTGATTAAACCTTTTAAATATAATAAATTAACAATGAATGAACAGAGAAAACATTCAGCACATTAATCTGGTTCATTGCATGTAAACCTTTCTTTCACCTCATATATATATTTTTTAAATAAATAAAAAAAAAACCCATTCTTCCTTTTATTAATTAAATTAGAAAAGAAAGAAAAATAGAACCCCCCACCTTTTCACACCCCATGTTGGGCCCCACCCAGTTGACAGCCAAAAGATAATGCACAGGGTACAACACCCCTCACACCCACATTCTTGTGTTTCAACTTTCATGTACAAATACAAAGGACCAGAATTTGTAATATATTATATACATTTTGTAACATCCACCCAATAGGGTGTCAACTACTCTTATCATTTCCTTCTTTTCCTTGCCTCTTTTTTTTGCCCTATTCAATAGGGTTTCTTCTTGAACTCTTCTTGCCTTTGATTTCTTT